GATTAAATGTTTGAGTCTGAGGTTTATAACTATCTTATGGATTGAAAATAATGGAACATATCCTGATTTTCCTTATCATTTTAATTAGCATTCAAATGGCACTGACCTTGAAACATCCCTTGTAGTAGCTCAGAATGACTACTGGATCTCTACTCCTTGATAATGGGTCATTAACCCTTCTCACTACAGGCAGTCCTCGCTTAACAACCATTCATTTAGCAACTGTTTGAAGTTACGATGGCGCTAAAAAGTGACTTATGACCAGTGCTTGAAGTTATGACTGTTGCAGTGCCTCCGCGGTCACGTGATTGTGATCCAGGCACTTGGCAACCAGCTCACACTGGTTGCAGCGTCCTGGGGTCATGTGATCGCCATTTACAACCTTCCCAGCTGGCTTCCAGCAAGGAAAATCAATAGGGAACCATGTGATTTAGTTAACGACTGTGTGATTCATTTAACGACCACAGTGATTCGCTTAACACCACCACAAAAAAGGTCATAAAATTGAGTCCGGTCATGTGATGATTTGCTTAACAACCACATTGCTTAGTGACCTAAATTCTGGTCCCAACTGTGGTCATTAAGTGAGGACTGCCTGTACTCACTATGCTGGACTTACTGGCAGTTGGTATAGTCCCAGTCTTTTAAATTTCTAAAATGTCTCTCAACTATTTTTCTTCTGCTATTATCTAACTCTGGAATTGCTAACTTGAAAGCTATATCTTATCTCTGGATATGTATTCTTGTCTATGCTATGTATTCCACTGATAAAATGCAGTGATGATGCATTTTATTCTGTTTTCTTTCTTTTCCATTCTTTCTTATTCAAACTGATTGTGTATTGCACTTTATTATGATCATTCATAAATAATCAAGCTCATATTTTTACACTGCGTTCTGAGAATCTTTACTCCTTTTTTCACTCACTATCCATGGTTTTCTCATATTTTCTGACTCTGCTTCAGAAACATTTGTCACATCTTCCATTGCCTTTATTAACGTACAATTACTCCTATAATGGTCTCACACTTTTTCTTTGGAGTTAAGTTTTATTAAAGATTCTAAAGGATTCTGAGAATGTAAGCCAAAACCAAAACAACATTCAGCTGAAATTAATGAAAAAATATTGCATTTAGGTACATACTTTCACACATATTTTTGAAAAATAAAATAAAAAGCTCAGGCTAGACAACATGTTTTAAGAATAGTAATATACTGAAGCACATCACAGAAAAGCAACCAGGAAGGTGTGGGGCTGGATAACGTTTTAACGGAAACACTTGAAAAAGCTAGTAAATTTAGCTGGGTGGATTATAGCCTGAACACGTGAGGACTTGTAAGATGGTGCTACTTTGCCTCATATGTTCTGCAAACTCCACACATTCAGCCATGAAGCCGAAAGAGGGTTGTGTTCACATCTGCTTGTAGGTGAGATGATTCAGGACCCTGCTTTAAAACACATGGAGGTCAAAACCTGTTTCAAGCCTTAATGCCAGATGAAGACCAATAACTGTCTTTATATAACTAAAAACGTGACATGCAAAAGATGCAGCAGAATTGCTCTATTATTCCTAAGGCCAGGACTTAAAACACTGGGTAGAAATTGCAAGAAATAGCCTTTGGTTAAATGTTAGAAGGAAATTCCAAAAGCTGTGAAATGTAATTGAACAAAATGCTAGGGAAATTGATGAATTCTACTTTGCTGGAGGGGTTTAAACAAACTATGTTCAGATATCTGTTGAAGATGCTAAAGGGGCATCCTCATTACCTACTCTTCACTGAGCACAAATTGGACTAGATGCTCTCACCCCTTTCCACCTCTGTCAGGACCACTGATTTCATCTGAAACGGGATTTCAACTTTACCTATCATAGAAATACAACTACAATATTCTACAGTGTGCAAAATTAAGTAGCTCTGCCTATTGAGAAAAAGTTTCTGAAGGTCAAGCTAACTAGACAGACCGACCCCTTTACTGATCAGTATCTTCTTCTCTAAGATACTAGAGGATATTAAGTGTTCTTAGTTCTCCCAGCTATAATCATGTTTCTATGGGACAAGCCATAAAAATAAGATCAAAATACAAATAATATGTTAAAGCTGATCCAAAAATCATATAAAAGCAGCAGAAAAACAGCCAGAGAACAAAAAACTGACTAAATATTGAAGCAGGAACAAAAGTAGATCTTCTGGCACCAAAATGGTAAGAGATACACGTGAGGGGAATTGCTTTGGAAAAGATGTTTCATAAGTGGGGTATTAGCAGTAAGAAGGTCCTTTTGCCATTAGCTATCTATCACTGTCACCTGATGGGTGCATCCAAGGAAATGTCTCAGAATAAGCCTAAAAGAGCTTGGTAGTGCTCTTATACAGACAGGCAGTCCTTTAGATCCCTATCCCAAGCTGTAAAAGATCTTAAGTTCAAAAATAATAGTCCAAATTGGATCAAGAAATTACACATGAGAATCCAAAGCAAAATGTGAAATAAATGGTTAAGTTCTGGCTCAAACACATTATCAAAACTTTTCAAGAAATTGAAGAAATAACTGCATATCGAGATAAAGTGGCAAAAAGAGAAGCTAAGCAAGATGCTATGCCCATACCCAACCAGCATGACTGCTTTCAAATAGGTTGAGGCAACTTCTACACAACTGTCAACATAAACTCCTTATCAGAAAAGATCTTAAATGAGTAAGTGTTGGAAATTCACCATCATGCCTGGACCTGAATTCCCCATATGAATGATAGACACTATGATCCAATAAACACTGAGAATAGGGAACTGGAAGATCTGATCCATAGGGCTACATTTTACTAGACTGGCTTTCTGCAATTTGTATAATATTACTTACATCATATAGCTATTATCCTTTAGAACAGGGCAACAACTTTGCAATCACTGGTATCTTCACATATTTCTGAAATTCTGGTCTGATGGTATAAGTTTGTAAAGCATTTTACATTATGATTGTCACATCATAATCCAATCATTTTAGGATAACTCATGTAAACACAGTGGTGGTAATTCTACAACAGCCTCCTAAAGCATAGATTAAATTTAAAGAACGTAATGTGCCCAAGGCTGCTTAGTAAAGTTTTCTGGGTAAGCAGGACTTCATACTGAAGTTTCGTTGGCCCGTAACAAACATTATCAAGACTAGAATTCTGTAAGCTATTACTGCCTATCAGGGAAGCAATACAAAACTGTCATCTATCCTCTGGAGAATCCTTTTTGCTTACTTCGCACTAGGCTGAAAGTGGCTTGGGAGAGGCATACCTTGCATTTGTTATACATGTATTTCTGGTCCTACTTTGGCTTCTGGTCAGAAGGTTTTACAGGATTTTGAAACTGGAAGAACTGTTCACTAGAGTAAATGAACATGTGCATCACAAACAGTAATACTTTATTCAGTCTTATTTCTCGGTGAAGGGATTCTATTGCCTATTTCCTTCTCAGAACAGAGGGAAGGAATAATACATAGCTGAGCAGCCATTTCTGCCTACAAAACTGGCCTGGAATGTACTGTACTGCATACCAATATACTGTAGCCATAATATAATACCATCTTAAAATGTTACATAAAGTTTCCTGTGAGATGTGCATGAAATCTTCTTTTTCTTAACCTTACCAAGGAATAGAATATAGATGGGGGACTGGGGCTATCCTTCCATCTTTCTTACAAAAGGCTGTACCAAGTCTAATTGCAAGCTGCCCTTATTTATCAAAGATTTGGCAGTTCATGAAATAAGGTATTAGTTGAGCAATGGGCAGCTAAACTGGAAATATAATTATTATGCGATGTATTTGTGCACATACATGTTATATATCTCACCCTGAAAAGGATCACCTTCCAGTGCCTTAAAAAGGCATACTCAAGGCCCTGATTTTATTTTAATTAAACTCATAACAATCATTGGAGAAATACTTCTGAACATGATCCTGGATTTTTTATCCTGGTGATTCCAAAATTTATTGGGAAATGTGCAGTTCGACACACCCATCTACAAATCCGCCAAGCCAAGCAACTATTCCCTAATTCATTTCTTTACATTCAAATAATATAAAAGTACTGAGGAGGCAACAGCTATTAAATGTGTTTTGTCAGCCCCCACTGATACAGGGTGCTGAGTAAAGAGAGAAGAAGTAAGGGTGAAAGGATAATAAATTTCCTTCAAAACAGCTCAGGGCAATTACTATTAACAATGAGTCTCTGTTAAAGGCACAGTTATTTTTCTGCAACTATTTATGGCTCTGTATCACATCAAACTTTAAGAGCATTTTGACATTTGGGCATGTGATATTTAAAAACACATAAACCACTTTCATTCCCAAACAAGTATTTCATTTTATTATTCAAGGAAAGACTGGGGGGGGGGTGTTGTAGAGAGAGGAGGATGAAGTTGAAATAAGGTACCCTTTCCTGTCAAATGGACTTAAAATTTGCTTCCAGATCGCACCAGTCTCGTCTGAAAGCAAGGGAGCATTGTTCACTTTTCCTCCTTACATTTTCATTATGGAGGAGGTACTATGATTTCTGTATTTCCCATGGGAACAACTGCGTTTCCATCATACAGAGACCCAAGAACATAGCTACTCTAAGTCAGGACGTTTTGCTCTCTCTCTCTCTCTGAACCATCTGCTTTACACAACGAAGGGAGGGAAAATGAATCCGTAACTGCCGTTGCCACTGCTGAATGTGCACCAGATGTGCAAAAAGCTTTGTCAACTCAAGTACCTACTGTTCATTTTACTGATCAGTGTTCCCTCTTTCAGGACTAGCTTTCGGACCTCTCTGCACGCGCGCCCAACAATCGCACACAATTTGCAAAAGGGGGGAAAAACCCGCACAGGTTCTGATCCCTGAAGAGCCCAACAGTAAAACGTTAACAGCGTTAATGATTCAAAGCACTGACAAGCAGGAGAAGTCTTCTTATCCAAATAAACCACCATCTGCTAACCAGCCCAGATCCGAATGGATTTCCATTCATCCGTCACTTACCTATTCGGGCTGCACAAAGCTGCAACACGTAAAATCCAACTGCTGCACACAACCAGAACTTGGCCATTGCTCCCGCTTCCAGATCCTGTACAAAAAGACGAAGTAGTTCTTCTCCCAGCCTACACAAAGGGACGGAAGAAAAAGATCCCGGTCTTGCTAAAACTGTCCAGAAAGCCGGCGTCTGAAGTTGGCTACCACTTCTATTCCAATTTGAAGTACTGCTGAAGTAATAAGTGACCTAACAGGGAGGGGAGCAGAACCCGAAGTCACACCCCTCTTGGAACAAAAGTGACTCGGCATAAAAAAGGGGAGGAGGTAAAAGGCTACTACTTATGAGTAAGCACAATTATAGTACCACCAATATTTCATGCAGGCTCCAAACGGCTTTGACTCAACGCTGCGCGGTCTCCCTGAGGCGGCGGGGCTGGAAAGCACCTCGTGGCTGGGGGTGGGGTGGAAAGAGTTTTTCGGCGCGGCACGTGGCCCTCCCGAGACGGGCTCCAACGGCCTGGTGGCAACTGTTGAGTTTTAGCAAAGATTCCTGATCCCGGCTTTCCCCCCTCTTTTGTGCACTCACTAGAAAGGCAGAGAGTTTAAGCAAGGAATGTTTTTCCTCTGCGGTTCTCCCCGTCTCTTCTCTCTCACCAGACCTTATAAACCGATTGAGTTAGGCTGGTTTCTGTTCTGCAACAGCCGCTAAGAGGTGCTTGCACTTTTCACAAAGGCAGGGAGAGGACCTTTGTTTTGTTGTATTTTGTTTTCAGAGGCACTTTCTTTCTTGCTGTAATCCTAGACGAACACATGAGAAACTTCTGCGTGTGCCATTATGGGCTTTAAACAGTACACCGAGCGTGTAAAGAAAAGCCTTGCCCCCAATTTTTTTGCCCGTGAGTTTTGCCTGAAAATAACCTCAGAATTTCCTGCCCCCAAACTCCTTTCAGAACAGACTGTTAAGACAGAAAAAAGGAGAGAACTGTTCTCCCTTCTGTCATTGAGTCCCTCGTTTCCTTCCACTGAAACACGGGTGGATTTTGAAATGTCTTCTTTCTGTAGCTGCTAGTGTTGTTCTTCACCCTCTCTTGTCTTCACATTTTTCTCCCCTCTTTGCTTCATACTATCGTTATCTGGTATCCAAACTTACACCCTTCATTCCCTAACCACATCCTTTCTGACCCTGCAACTTGAAATAGTATTTGTATAGGTTTTTTTCCTAAATACAGAGTTTAAATGCTCGTTTAAAATAACCTCTTCAGTCCAGAATTGTTCTTCTAGCTTTCCCATTCGGCATCTTCCTCAAGTGTCCAATTAGATTTTCAATCTAAAGGGAAATATTACTTGTTTGATTTAGGTATAGTCCTTATTTTTAAAGGGTTATAACCATTTTTAATAATAATAGTCTAAGCTCATGTACATTTCAAGAACGAAGGATAGACAGCTCAAGGAAAGAAAAAGGTGACTGGCCACCATGTTTTAAATAATAAAAGACTCTCTGAAATTTGAAAAAAAACTAGAAGAGGGAGAACAATTCTACAAGTTACAGAAACTGAATGGCTTTTCTGTTACTGATGTGTATAAGTTCCCTAACCTGTTGTCTGAAAGCTGTTAAGAATAAGTTCTCAAAAACTACTGAATAGAAGACATTCATCATTCTGAGAGTACTTCCTTGTTACTATGACATGGACTCCTTCTGTGAGCTTTACTTACATCTGAAAATATCCCTCTATTAAAAGAGGGCGGCTGGGGATTTTCATTTACAGGGGATAGACCTATATTTAATCAGTCCCCTATTTTAAGTAATATTTAAGCACTTTCAAAGAAAAAGTAACCTTAGAAGGAAAAAGTGGAGGAAGGGAGGCTAGAAGTTGCCATCCACAGTTAGTATCTGGACCAGAAGCACACAGGTCACTAGCACCCACTTAATGATAAGAATTTAAATCTGTATAAAGAAATGAGCATGGACCAATACTGTGCAAATCAATGCCATCTTTTCTCTCCTTTATGGTGATACATGGTGGGCACCCTAGGTTGGGATATTTGACTTAGATTTCTTTTCTGTTTTTTTTACAAGAAAAACGTTAAGGTTAGTACTTTCATGTTTTTATGGCAAATAATGCAGAAGTATCTTTTCATTGTGGCGCCAAACACTCTCCATAATAAGATCTATGATGTAGTTAGTGCCAGAAACTATTTTGTTGGTTTGAGGAGAAAGCAGTCTACTGGGAAGCAGGGCGCCCATTTCTGTTCCTGCCAGCTGCTTTGTTCACACATGTAATTTATGGCCTGAGTCCTGCAGAGCAGTAAGAAGATGAACAGTGGCTTCTACTAGTTTATGTTTAAAGGGAAAACCAGCAGTAACCTTAGATGTCCTTCTCTTCCAGTCTACATTTCCAGAGAGTTCCTGTTCACCAAATGATACAGAGAAAACTATTTCAATAATTATGCCACCATTATAATTTGTCAGTCAAGATTTCAAAAGAGATGCAGCTCTGACCATTTATTAAGTTTATATCGCAGCACAGAAGGGAAACAATTATACCATTCTTTTCAGTCATCTATACTCATAGCACCAATGAAGGACCATTTCATATCAGTAAATATTACAGACTGTAAACTAGCAGAATTAAGGAATGGCATTTATATGTCTAAGGTTCTGATATATATACTGATTACACTGATTTGAACATAAGTTCTTCCCAATGCAGTGGAGTCCACTACTAAGAAAACTTAGATCAAATTACAGCAGAAATTAAAACTTTTGTCTGTCAATTACATTGAAGAAGAAGGCCTTCCTATGTGTTACTGTATTTATATACAATATTGAGGAAAGCTCCATGACAGAGCAATGTGTCTTAACTGTAAAATGACCTTGATTCAATCCTAGATACCTTCAGTAAAATTATCAGATAGAGGTGAAGATAAAGATGCCCTTAAATTGACCTCAGATCCTGGTAACTACATAGACATATCCATACAGTTTTCTTGGCGCTGAGTGTGAAAGTGATCTTTTTCCAGATGTTGTTTGACTTCCCAGTCTAGCCTATTCAATAGGCTATGTCGAAATATAATAATCATTGCTACAGTGCTGCCAAAAAAAACCATATATGAATGTGTAGTTGATTTCAACTTAAAAGAGACTTGGATTTTTTATTTATAAATAACACCGTGTATGTGCATGACACTTGACAAGGGAACATAAGCTTTTTTTGAAGAATTGGCCACCCAGGCTTAAGCAAGAGAGAAACAACGATTTTGATACCATTGTGAATTCTGCTGCATTCATCCTCTGTTTTGGTACTTTATTGTTCCTAAGGCTTTGTTAAAGTTGGGATCATGATGCACAAAATCCCTAACATTTCAACTCTGAGTGACACATATTCTCCACTATAGGTTTTGTTCACTTCTATACTGTTTTATTTTTACTGATAGCCACCTGGCCACTTTTGACTTTTGGATAGCTGGTAAATATTACCAATAATTCAAAGAAAGAGAGGGAGGAATACAAGGGTAATAAGCTGTGAAAGGGGACAATCACAATTACACAAGGTCTCTGAGTTCAATGCATGCAGTTCTGCACTGTTTCAATTGCTGATTAAGACAAGTGGGTAAGATCTGAAAATGTTCACAGAGGCCATGGATTTTAATTGGAATAGGCAGGAAAATAACATTTGTTGTGTAACTAAGTCACAAGTAAATTTGCTACACCATAAGTACATTACAGTACTTCCACTTTTTTACTGCTTCTCTTTTGAGAAGGAGCAGTAGGACTGTCATAATCACCTTTAGATTCCCTTGCTTGCCCTCTTAGGTGCACATTTGAAGGCCAAAGTGTTTTGTGCATGTGTGTGTATATTCATAGTACAGTTGCCATGTAGAGAAAGTTTCTTCCATTAAAGTTTTACTAAGACCAAGCATGCTATGTGCAATACTAAGTTAGTTAAGCTCATACATGTCAATATTTGCAGTTCAAGAGAACTGCATTTGGAGGCTGCTTATTCTATAAGACCTTCCACAACCTGTTGTCTTCCGTGCCTGTCACCCCTAGATAATAGGGGCCATTCCTATGGGGCTGTGGATATTATATATGTTGAGGAAAGTTGCCCTATTCTTAAATTACTTGGAGTAGAATTGCTATTTATTGCTTTCCCATTAAACAAGATGTGATGAAAATGATGACAAGTTTAGATTGGGAATTAAAAAAAAACAGGTCACAGCCTGAAATGATATTCCTAATCCTGTCATCTCTGGTGAAATCAGCTTTGCGTACCAGTTTAGATAACAGTGGACTTAACTAATGTTAAATGTGGATGGAATGGTTTCCACACATTAGGAAATGATGTATGTAACTTCATTTAGTTAGCCAAGCTACATTTCAGACTCTTTCTTATTCCACTGAGGGAGGGCCTGGATGTGTGTTCAAAATTCCTCCCATGACAACACCACAGGGAGTAGGGCTTAATAAGACATTTTAATATTTGCAGGCCTTTGAGGCTGTTTTAAAAGGATAAAGATATCATTTATCTTTGGGTTTTAAACTTACTGTAAGTCATCTGAGAAAATGTTGAATTGAAAGCTGATTTAGTTATTTAATTAATTTCTATAGCTGCCCATCTCAACAAGGGACTCTGATACATAGAATTTTAAATAAAAAGCTAATTTCTCAGTCATAAAGTTTGCTGTACTTGTTCCATTTGCCACTAAGCTTTGTGTGGATGAATGTAAATGAAATGGAAAACTGACTGGATAATCTGCAGCCCTACAAGGGCCACATATTGCCCATTCCTATGTCTTACAATAATTGAAAAGCAACTAACATTCAACTCAAAATGGTAAGAAACTGATTTTTCACATGCATTTTCTACAGTCTTTATTTAACCTTGTTTGTGATTCCATCAAAAGACCACTATGCTTGAGGCCCAAATACCTTTATTTTTACATTACAGGTAGTCCTCACATAATGACTGTTTGTTTAGCGACCAAAGTTACAATGGCACTAAAAAAGTGACTTATGACTGGTGCCCAAAGTTATGACCATTGCAGTGCCCCCACGGTCACATGATTGCAATTCAGGTGCTTGGCAACCAGCTCGCACTTACAATAGTTGCAGCGTCCCGGGGTCATGTGGTCGCCATTTGCGACCTTTCCGGCCAGCTTCTGGCAAGCAAAATCAATGGGGAACCACATGATGTGATTCACTTAACAACTGCAGTGAGTTGCTAAATGACCGCTGTAAAGAAGGTTGTAAAATCAGGTCTGGTTATGTGATGATTTGTTTAATGACCGCATTGCTTAGTGACCAAAATTGTGGTTCCAATTGTGGTCATTAAGTGGGAACTACCTGTGCTCTTCATGATAAAGAAGAGAATGGAGAACTAAATCATGTGGCTTTCCCCCACACTTCCCCAGCTTTTTGGCTCACTTACAATATAGTTTACCTCTGCAATGCTACAATGCCCTGGGGCATTCTGAGCAGATGAAGAGGAAGAATCTGTAAGAAATAAGAGAAGACATATTGTCCTTCTTTGCAATAGGCACCCATCAAAGATTGAGGAATCTAAAGGTCATTGCCTAAG